ATTTACCAGCTGCTTTTAATATCTTTTAATAGGGAAAATGAATGAAAATGATGGTTCACCGGATGGCTGAGGTCGCCCATTGTCTGACCCCATGATCTCATCCCCGACCCCATGGTTGTTCCAAAAATGTGGTTTCATCCCTTACTGAACAATGGTTCCTGTGGGGTGTCTAGTAGTGGGAAGGGATTTTGTTTTACGAGGGATTCATCTGAATTTATTATGATTAAGGGTCTTGACCATAATATGGGATAAAGTCCGGTTTAGTTTTGTGAGGATTTTTAATTCATACCGTTGGAACAATATACTAGGGATATACTGGGGATCTTGTGGAGACATAAGATATAACAAACAAAATTATATTTATTTGTAGGTTGAAGCTATTTGACGCTTATTATACCATGATTTATAATTTGGTCTTAGCCATCAAGCATCTAAGGATTTAATCCCCCAACACAATGCTTGGTCGGTGTTTTGTTCGGAAGTTATGGTATACGGTAAATACGGTATATACCCAAGATATTGGATTTTATCAGAAACCATGAGCTGGGAATCTCAATATTAATTACAGCCATGGCCATTAACAGTTCTAATTGGGACTATAATTCCTTCAACTAAGGCTATTGAAAGGCTTACGCCTGACAGCCGGCCACCGGCCAGGGAGGGGGGAGGGGGAAGGTGGAAAAGACTATGTTTGTGTGATTGGGGTCACGTTGTGGCCATCTTGGAGGCATGTTGGGGCTATGTTTCTCTAACGCGCTCCCCCTGCCGGATATATCGTTATAAGCGAGTTTTATAGCTGTTAGGGGCTATAACTGTACCCAACCATGATGAGGTAGGGAGAAGGCGACGGCCTGAGGTGTGACCCAAGCTCACCTAAGCTCACCGAGCAGCCAATGTCACTTGCCGAAACGCGCGTTGAGATCAAGGGGATAGGCGTCATTGTGATAGGCTCGATGTGCGGGTTGCCCAAAATAGGAGTAATTACCCCCAATCATTCCAAATGAGACGCTTTTAGACATTGGAACCCACGGTTTTGGGGTACCACCATCTTAGGAAACTTTCATGTATAGAATATAGTCACTGACATGTGAGGCATAGTTGGGTATATTTTTCCAAAAATTCCAGAGATGTATAGTCTTTTCTCCAGCAACAGAACCTGCTGGGAAGATCCGGGAAGTGGATTCAAAAACCCAGATCTTGATTTTTCAGGGTCTCACTCCGTCCCACGGATTCCCAGGTATGCAGGAAAATTGCTTAATGAAACCTCAGTGCTTCTGGTTCTTGGTTGCTTCCCCATTTCTTGGACTTGTTTTGGGTTATAAATTTCTAGTTTTCAAAAAGTTGATGCTGCACCCAGATTTCTCAACCCCTAGATTTGGGGTCCATGTGAATAGCTATTGAATACCCTTTGAAAGCCCCGCTTCAAATAGTGACGATTGTTTCTTTCCGGGGTTGGCAGTAGCCATGTCAAGTCAATATCCCAGTTATGTTCCCACGTGTAATCCCAATCATTGTCCCATGTCGCTGGGAGTTTCCAATCTGGACATATGAATTCTCATCGAGGATCCAACTCCTGGCTGAGAAGGACCCCTTTCAGCCCCCAAAAATCATCCATCATCTTCGCTCTCCCGAAGGTATGGCTCGAAACCTTGCTGGGTACATCTTACAGACCTGAACCCCTGAGATGTTGGTTCAAAAACCAGGGACTTTCCATGTCTTTCCAAGAAAAATGGCAGTCTCAATGACTTTCCATGACTTTCAACAGCTGAAAACCAGGGCACCTCACGCGAACCCTCACCTCGAGTTCCCGTCGGAGGCTTTTTTGATCTTTTTTGGGGTGCGCCAAAGGTGGTAACAATCCCAGCCTCATTGGGGATTTAGCCATGAAATAAATGGATTTAACTTTAACCATTAAAGTTTAAGGTAAATGATGTTTTGACGGTTGGGGGGTAAATGGGTGATTTTACCTTGATATTTAGCCAACTCACCACCCTTGGACATGGGGGGTTGGGAGCAACCCTGAATACTGGGTAAATGATGGTGACATAAAATGGGAAATTACGGGAAATGGTTGATCGACAATTCACAATATGATGTTTTGGTGTGTTTAAGAATGGTGGAATGAAACCAATTACTGTAGAATACTTGTATCATGTGCTGAAATGTGCTGAACATCAGGTAAACCAATTTTGTTTATAGATGTGTCTGCATCAGTTTTACAATCTCTTAGGCCCTTACTCCTTTTTCATAATAATACTCGTACCCACTAAAGTTAGACCCTGAGCAAGGGAAATTGCTGCCTAGATGGTACATTTGGTCAAGCCACAAATGGCATTGCCCTTAAATCCGAGTGAGGAGTCATATAGTTGTAAATGTTCAAGACCTATGGAATGTCTTCTTGCCTCGTCCCTTAAATCTGCCTCAAGGGACTATACATGCCAATTCACCTTTGTCACAACACAGCACTGGGAATCCTTGGACTTCAAACAGAGACAGTAGCTGAGTAAGGCCCAAATAATTGCTACTCAACATCCAAGCTCTCCTTCACCCAAGCCCGAGCAAGTGCAGTTGGTGTCGCTCTGGACATCGGAGGTCTAGGATAGCCCCAATTCATTTGTAGTTTGTAGTTGCCCCAGAACCAGAATGGTTATATATCCACTTGTAACCTCAGCGATAGCTCCTCCGGTACATGATTTCAGCGGTGTAGGTCCTTTCACCGAACGCTCCATCTTTGTGCATGGAACATATTAGGTACCCGCATTTACCCCAACATTTGCCAAACTATGCCAAACTTACAGATACAAATACCACACATTTGGACAATCTATTTCGCGACTTTGGAGGACAAAGCCCCACAAAGAATGGCAAACATACTACGGGAACTAATTGCAACTAGCAACTTGATGGCTTCGAATCAGTTCAATATATATATATATACACATGAAGCAGAGTTGTTGGTATCATTGATGTCCCACCAAATCAGAGAGATTATAGTCGTTAAATCATGTCAAATATCTCCAAATTGAAGGCTTGAACAATGATTTGATTGATTTTAGGTCCCTGACCCTGACCGTGTCCGATAAACGACCTGGTTACATGGCTAACAATGTTGGTTGAAGCCCCGATTTTGTTGGTATATAGACATCCCACTTTTGTCCATTTTTGTTGCTTCAATCCCAGCAATCGTCGACACGTCAGTTGGACTTTGCAACCTTTGGGCCTGCGCACCTAGTGGTGGACACTGTGCTGGGTCCATACGACTGACATAACTGCTCAGGGGTAACTGGCTAGGGTAAAGTAATTTCAGCTAGCTAAGTGCTTCGGAACTTGGAAAAGAGTCTATACATGTCTATACAATCTCCACTTGGTGGTGCAGTTGGGGTGATGTTCATGGGTAACTATGGTGATACGCTCCATAAGTTGGTAGAGATCATTCCCTTTAGAAACATATAGAAACATATAGAAACTATTGTGAAATATATCCACTCATGACCCCAACTGCACCCCCTGCTCGCTGGTGACCATGGTGTTTTTTGGGAGCGCACGCCTTCCGAGGAGTTGTCACCAAGATTTGGGGACCTGTAGCCGGTGTCATCAAAGGTAGGGGGGCTGGAACTAAGTGGAGGTTTTAATTCCCATAGGATCCATGGTGCCGGTATATATATATATATGTATAATGTCAAGTCAGGATTAATCAACACCCCGTTATTAATCAACCTCCTCCTCCCAACAAAAATGCAATTAAAACACAGGTGGTCCCCCCAGATTAATAAACACTTTGGCATATCCCCGATTAATAAACCACCAGTGTTGAAATCTCATGTTTCCAACAATTTTTCTTTCCAATTCTATTTATCTCATCATTCTCAGAACTCATCATTGTTATACTTAAGGTTTAAGTTGATCATTGAAAATTTCAAAAACAACTATTCCCCAAATGATCGATTTCTAATTAAATTATTTATAAAAATCATCAGTTTGGATAGCTCCCAAAGGGTACCCCCCATGAGCCCATGTCCCCCATTAATAATAATAATAACAAGGGTTTGCCCCTTATTAATCAACCCCCTTTCTGATCCATGAGATTTTAACAATCAAATCTTATCAAATCCAATGGAATTCTATGAAGATCTAATTGATGTAAGCCATATCCAAAGTTTTATGGTTCAGAAGATGCTTATTATTAAGGCGGGCTCCACAAGGTCTACCCTGACATTCTGGGGGGGTGTATTAATCCGGTGTTCGCATTGTATGCTAACCTTTGGGGTATATTGATGGGATCCATGTTACCATATATAGCAGCACCATGGATCCTATGGGATTGGAACATCATCTATAAATCGGCGATGTTCCACCAGGTTAGAGGCTGAGAGTTGGAACGAAGTGGGGGCCCGTCCAATTTCTCGGGGCTGGGGATAGTTTGTGCGATGGTGCTGTATGTTTGTGCGTATGAGGCATCCTAGCAAAGCTCTGCAGTAAACAGCGTGCAAAACACACATATACTTCAACCCAAAGATAGAACAGCGAAATCCTGCTAGAATAGCGATGAGCGACTTTTCTATCTTCTTTGGAGGTACTATATATATATGTACTAGAATATATATATATAATAGAATATATATATATACACACATAGATGCATTTCACCATATAATCCCCAGAGGCTGAACACATGTTGCAAGGTTTTCGATGGCCATATGGTGAATGCACATATTCATGTCACGTTCGGCTTGGTGGTTGAACTTGTTGCTTTTGAAAAAGAAACGTCCCAATTCACTAATGTGTTTGGCTCAGGGGCTGCGGGAACAAACAGAAGCACATCAGGTTTCTACAGATATATTCAGGCACCAGAAAGTCCAAACTGTGCAAAAACCTGGAGTACCAGGAGGTCTGAAGCAATTCTGCACTCATCAGATCATACATGAAGCTGCATCCAGATTCTTACAGCTATGTTTCTGGGGCGGATAGACGTAGCCAATTCCTTCGACATACCAAGCCGCGCACGGTTCGTAACGGCGACCCCCCCACGTGACACTGCCATGGTTCGCCGCAGCTCCAGGGGATTGCGAGTTTTGGCAGGTGTGACCTGCGTCATCCGTCCAATTGTGTGGAATATGTCGATCATATTACAATTCGAGTATATTTGAGTAACAAACTAGGGATTTCACAAAGACAAAGATTTATCCGATTGGCGTTTCATCATATATGATATGTATGACCCAGCTATTTTGATGAGAAGACTAAGATTACCCTCTGGTAATTCAACATAGCTATGGAAAATGGCCATAGAAATAGTTGATTTACCCATTAAACCATGGTGATTTTCCATAGTTTTTAGTATGTTTACCAGAGGGTATAGAGGATCAGACTCTTTTGACATTTGGATGATTCAGCCAACCCCCCAGCTGGCGCTGGTGACCGGCGCACCGTTCACGATTAGGTGCCCTCCTGGCCAATGCACTGCTGAGCACCTTGAATTTTGTCGTTCCAGGCGTGGCATGGTGGGTGAATGATGCATGGGAGTGGTTGTTTTATGTTGTTTAAACGTTCAAGCACTCTGTTTGAGCCAGCTATATGCCAAAATTGTGGCCTCGTAAGTTGGGGTTCTTTGGTCTCAAATGGGAAGTCCCAAAATGGTTTCACCGATTCTCGAAGTATAATTGAAAATGTTTCGATGTTTTTCGCCAAGATCGTGTTTTGCTTCCGGGGGAGATCACATAGAATTAGCATGAATTAGCCATGCAGGATGTCACGCCAGAACAATCGACCTAAAGCAAGATTCGGGGCGCCGCCGGGCTCCTAACTGCTGGGCCATCTTGGAAGTATGATCATTCCATTACATTGGGTGAGTGTTTTCATGTTCTTTCTTGCTTCCTGCATTTTATATTTTGTACAGGTATCTATGATATATTGAGTAGACTGTAGATGTGTTTTTTTAATTCCTGGGAGTGAGAAAGTGTTTGATTTTTTGCCCCATTGTTTTTAGCAGTGTATTCAGACTACGGGTGGGGGCTTGACTATCCCGAAGTTGCTCACTGCGAAGCTCCCAGTGTATATCAAATTCAAGAATCCCAAGGTTTCGCTCGTCAAAAAAAATCCATGCATCTCAGTTGTCAAACAAAAATCTCATCCACTCCCTCAATCACCCAATCCTAATCCCCCAACCGTCCCAACCCCAGTTCCCAGCTCTTCTCATGTTCCAGGTCCCCCAATCCCAGCCCAATCCCCCCGCATCCACAGGTGCTCCGGCCGCTCCTACCGGGCTTCGCGGCAGCCGCGTGCAGCGCTGGGCGGAGGAGGAGGTGGAGGCCCAAGTGCAGCCTGAGGCGCGATGGATCAACAGTGAAATTGGGATGGTAAGTCATCGTCTTTGATGGTTATTCCATGTTATTTATGTTATTCCCCTTGATGTTCCATCATATTCATTCATATTCCAGGATTATTCCACGTTATTTTCCAATGTGGGACACCCAATGCCATGGACTTACCATTTGGGGGTGGTTTATAGCACCCTTTTATGCTGATTTTGGGGATGGTTCACTACTGCATTGGGTCAAAACAACATGATTTCCCATTTATTCCCGGTACTGGTTCACCATTTTTGTGTTCAACATGTTAGGCAAAATTTACAGTAAGCCTCATTTTTTGGGAGTGACAATTTAAGCTCTATTTATGGTTAATGGGGATTATGAATGATTATGAGCATCCAAAATTTGTGGGATACTTATCAACAAACCAGTATATAACGGGATAAATATATTGCCCGGTAGTAAGGAATGGGACATATCGTTAATTTAAAATGGGTGTGGTTTTCCATTGCCATGCTTGATTAGCAAAGGGTAAGCACCATTTATAATTGAATCCCCATCCTGGCAGATGATGCTGATGTGTTAGGTTTCTTTTTAGTTGCATCTCCATGTGTGTTGCTTAATCTCTTTGGTACTTCAACACTGCTGGTTCTTTTTGGTAAAGAGCTGGTGTGATTCATGATGAAACCATCATAAGCCATCATTTTTGATGCAAATGACCATAAATCACCTAAATCAAAGTTTGTTGATGGCAATAATCACCATTTCCAGTGGTTGGATTTGCCTTTTTTCCAGGCGTCAGACCGTCTGCACAGGTCGACGATGGAAAGGCCCTGGATCCTTCGAGTCCTGTTGGACTGGCAGGGATGGTGGTGATCAGCTTGGCGGTACTGCCCTATGTGGTGCCAGGGCATGGCGCTAGGGAAGGGACCAAGAGAATATACGGGGGGTTCCAGAAATGGGGTACCCCAATGGCTGGATGGTTTACAGTGGAAAATCCGATTAAAACGGATGATTTTGGGGTACCCCTATTTTAGGAAACCCCCATATTTGTCTGGGTAAATTATAGTGACCTCCCTGTGCACTGGAATTATGCTTTACATATGGGGAATCATCTCTAAATGGCGGCAAGTTTCAGATTAGTGAAATACTACAAAATTACCCAGATTTATGGGATAGATCATGGGAATCACAAGGGAACATAAGAGGGATTCAAGTAGCAATTTGCATGGGCGATAAAACCCTGGAACCTCTCTCTTCACAAGCAAACCGCCAGAAATAGGTCTTGATCCATAGCCATTTTGTGTTTGAAAATGAAGATGATTCCTCTGAAAGCTTGATTGGAAACCAATGATGATTACACGTCAAATTTTGGTGGTACCCATGGCACGCTATTTTTAAGACAAACCCATTCAAGTGGCCGACATGACGTTTCGTGATTGACATGGAATATGTGCGTATATTTCTCTGGGATGTTAGCACGGTGTTAGATATGAGTGATAGTAAAACCATCTCATTTCTGGGCTGTTACCCAAGGATGCAATGTTTATTCCAGGAATGGGACATGTGGCAAAAGGTCAACAAAAATCATTCCAGGATGGAAGTTCAACCCAAAGGCTGGGGATTCACGAGTGTTGCCCCAGATATCGTAGCCGCTTACTCGTGGAATGCGCATGGACCAACTGAAAGACCTGTAGGGAACCAAAACAATGTAGCAAATCAACATTTTGAGGTATCTTCTTAGCTATTTGCTTATAATTCCCATTGATATCATTAAATTAAACCATATTAAACCCTAGCTTTGCTCACAACACATAGCTGCAGCTAATCCGATTTGAATCCCATTCAAATCATTAAAATGAACCCTAGCTATACAATGTTATTCATACATATATATATATACATACTTATAAAACAGCGTTCGAAAAAAACGCGTGCTCCAGCCAAGGTCTTGGCGATCTATAGTTCCGCCAAGCTGGCCACCACCGGACAGGCCGCCAGGGAGTCGTTTGAATGGGAAGACTGGGGGATTTAATGGGAAAATCTCTATAGTGTATGTTTTAATAGGAAAACCATCTATAAACTTGGTGTATTTTCCATTGCCACGTTTGATTAGCGAATATAGGTGGATCTATAACCCAATCCAACTAAATATAGATATATCCGCCATAAAAGCTACTCTTCTCAGACACTCACACATTTCCCATGAAGCCACCGAAGCCCCCTGGTGCGCTGCGCAGGCCTTTGAACCATTCCTGCAAGGCGGAGCCTTAACCTTTACCGGCGTGGTGGGCATTGCTGAAGGTGGGAAGAAATCAGGAAACGGCACAGTTGAAAAGGATGGGTCGGGGAACTCGCTTAGGCATAAATGTTGTGGATTGATATTTGATTATATATATATATATATAGAAATCCTGATTACCCTGTAATTAACATAGACCCTGAAAATGGTCAGTTTTTAGCGGAAACTAATCTTCCAAGCCCTAAATGGCAGGGTCTATGTTAATTTACTGGAGGGTATATCTCCATATGTGATGGATCCAACTTATTTTGAAATCACATGTTATAACTCACAAGCTCCCGTTTCACTCTTACAAAGAGTGGTTGGATATTTGCAGTGTGGCATCAGATCCATGGCCAATGATGATGTCTTCGGTGATTCGGTGGGCGGGGATGAGATCCATCAGTGTTTCATCAACAAACAGGTGTTCAACATATGTTTGGATCGATTTTTGTCAACTATATAATAGATTTTTTTCTTGAACTGTTCAAGCCCCTTTTTTGCGCGTTTTTTTTCCCTGAGTTTCTGCTGATGTGTCGCCGTTTCTGTCGCGCCAGGTGTGTCGGTTGTGGTCGTCTTTGGCATGGTCCTGTGGTCCATTTTATCATTTTTCTTACGCCTGGGCGTTTCTTGGAGACGATAAAAGCGTTCCGATGAAATCTGGAGGCCATTGCGTCTTCCCATGTATTTGCTATGTTTGGACAAACCCAACCCGTTGACATATGTATATATATATATAGTTATATATACATATATATATATGTATGGTTATATATATATATGTATATGTAGTTTTATATATAGTTATATTCTGCAGATAGTTATATTTAAATTTATAGTTATATGTATATATAGTTATATATATATAGTTATATATATATATAGTTATATATATATAGTTATATATATAGTTATATATAGTTATATATAGAGGTATATATATATAGTTATCAATATATATATATATATATATATATATATTTATTTATTTATTTATATAGTTATATATATAGTTATAAATATATAGTTATTTATTTAGTTATATTTATAATTATATATATAGTTATATAGTTAGTTATATATACAATTATATATATAGTTATATAATTGGTTATATATATAGAGTTGTATTTTTAAGTATATATAAATAGTTATATATATATATATATGATTATATATATAAATAGTTATATAGTTATATATATAGTTTTATATTTAGTTTTTTAAATATATATAGTTATATATATATATATGTATATAGTTATATATAGTTATATATATATATATATCTAGTTATATATAGTTATATATATATACAGCATATTATATATACACCAATGATTTATATTTTAACTAGATACAATACAAAATGTATTTGTAATACAACATAGAATAACTAGATGCATAGATACATAAATACATATATATATATATACATATGTACATGGATTTTCAATTTAGAAATATCGACGTTTCGACAGATCCTCATGTCGTGACGCGTTCACCTAGCATTTGACAAGGTGCAGGAACAGTATTGTTTTGGCCTGGAAACTAACACGGCTGTGGGTTAACTATCAATCCCATCCCCCGATATAACGTTAAACACTGCCTAACTGGTCCCAAGTATGTGTAAATCCCCTATCAAACCATGGTTTCTGGTTTGTGCTTATACGGTGAAGGGATCCTTGTTGAACAGGTACTGCATATCTATACTGGATCTTCGAGTGCCAGATTAGAGGGGAATCTATCATTTACCCGCTGGGATGGGCAACACATCAAACACATCCGAACATTGGGAGGCTTTGTTGGTGGCCATACTTGTGCAGTTGGATTGTTCTCTTCGTGTATTCAGTGTATTCCTGTCATGACGTGTCATCCAACGTGGTCCAGCAAGGCATGTTTGATGAGAGGCTAAAGATTCTTCGTGATTGATCCTTGAATCCTGAAATAGTGATCCTTGAATTATTGTTTGTTATCATTGGTTAAGGATTATCATTGATTTAGGGTAATTCCATGAACCATCATTAAACACCATCAAATACATCATTTTTACTCATCATGATTGATCATGGTTTAACCACTATGGACCATCATTATATCATCATCATTAGCCATCATTGTTTGGGGACAATTAAACATGAATGATAATTAATCATCAGTAACCATCTAAGGTTTCTTAAAAATGATCATTTACCCATGGTTAAGCACTATTGAATCAGTAAGGACCATTAATCACCATTATTCAACCACTATTAACCATCATTCACCATCATTGCAATCACCATTACCCATTATTCACCATTATTAATTATTAATCACCATTAATGACCATTAATCACCATGAATCAACCGTTTACCACCATTAATCACCATTTATCACCATTAATCACCATTAATTAATCACAATGAATCAACCATTTTTCACCATTCCCATAGTTTTGGGCTTGAACTTGGGCTTGATGCGCCGAGGTGGGCTTGCCTCAAGGCCCTTTTGGCATTCTCGGGCTGACGACGACTCTGTCCTATGCTGCTTGGCCCAGCTGAACGGTATTTGGAGGCTAGGTATCACTCGAACTTGCTAGTTGTTTCGCCAAAAACATCAAGTGCATCTGAAAACAGGATAGCCCAACACTTGGCAAATCATAGCTGTTCTGCTCAAGATGGCAATGGTTGGGGTACCCGAGTAGGTTATTTAACATAAGGACAATGGTTGTTTTTTAAAATTTTACCATGATCTTACCTATTAGAAACAGATTATGTACCATCATTTACCACCATTTTACAATTTTTTAAATGATTTTACCATGATTTACGTATTAGAAATGAGGGTTTTCCAGTTCGCAAAAAAAACCGCAGCGAGGTGGCCGCTTTTCTCTTTGCTTCCGCCAATTTCCTGAGTGGACTGGGCGAGGACAGAAGGGTATGCTTGTGGATGTGATTGATGCCGACGATGATGGTGATGATGATGAGGATGAAGTTGTTTCGTGCTTCTGAAGTACATATACGTATATATACTGGTTGGTGGTTTGGAACATTTTTTGTTTTTACATATATTGTGAATAATAATCCCAACTGACTAATATTTTCCAGGGGGTTGATACCACCAATTAGATATATTATTCATGGTTGTCACAATCAGGTTTGCTGACTCTGCAATATTGGGGGCCAACCGGACCACGGTCAGTTGGTGGAATGATTTAGCTCCGGTCAGTTGGATACAATATCATCAAGCAAAATTGATTCATGGTTATTATCTGTTGATGGTAAAGCATACGTGATATGTAATATCAACAAGTTCAACATATTGATATATCATATTATACATATTACATATATGTGTTCAGACAAATAGATGATATCAACACAGGATGACCGCAACATATTTCATAAAACACATGGTTTTTGGTGGGACAACTATCCCAAAACGGCCTGATTCCAATGGAATGACCTGATCATACCAATCGCCAGTGTTATTTTGTCATAAGAAATCCGACTATTATAATCATCGGTAATCTATATGATATGTTTGATGATCTATGATAACATCATCATTAAAAAACAGTTTAAGCAGAAATAATGTATAGCAGATTGTAATATTTATCACTGTTCTTTGTGCACATGATAATATGACATAGTCCATGAATTTGTCCAAGTTAATGAATGTTATGACAATCCTACTTTGGGTTGCAGTTCTAGCTGAAAGCGGAGATAGTTCACCTTATTAAAAAAAGGGACCGGACCAAATATCCCAACTTATCGGGTTGATCTCACCAACGAAAAAAACATCTGGGGGTTGCTATAGTAGCACCCAAAGAATATTTCGAAAAGTCAATTCTCAGTATTTAGAAATATGGTGAATAGTCTTTTGATAATGTTCTTTCATTTTTGGGGGTTTCTATAGTATGCTAGGGTGAATCTATGACCATCCTACTATACCGACGGCGCAGGAGAACCCCTTGCGCGGCATTGAGCTGGCCACCCTGACGAAGTCCCCAGAGAAGTTGACGCAAGTCGTGCCATGGCCTTGAAACGTTGGGAGCAATGGAGCCGTCCCCAAGCTAAATGGATGTTTTAACGGGAAATCATAGGAATACCAATATCTTAGCCAAGTTGGTTGAGAAATGTTGAGAACACTTCTTAACTATGTTTCATGAGTTTATGATTCCTGATGCTTCTTATGACTAGTATTGTTCCAAGGAAGGTTATAAACCAACAAACACCAACCGCTGGGGGCGACATTGTAGGATTTTTTGGCCAGATGACGCCCCAGTTGACGAAATCGGCAAGTTATACCTAGTTAGTTTCGCTGAGTCGATGATTTGGATTATGAAATTCGCAATGGGAAATTCACTGCGACTGGGAAATCGATTACGGGAATATGTTTTATTTTTGGGGTTCCTTAAGCAAATCCAAGAATAAATTTGAAATCTGACTGGGGAATGACTCCATCCCCCTGAATAATATTAAACACCAGCTTCCAGCATCTTCCAGCACTGGCCTGCTACAGCCGCTAGACACCAGTGCTTTCAGTGCATTCAAGCATTGGATCAAAAGAAGAAACCAGCAGCTGCGGCGCACCGCCCAAGGCGGTGAAGCGCTGAGTTTCTGTGGCAACTGGGTCACGCTCCTCGAGAATTTTTCGCCAGCAGAAAATGGGCTCACGCTTTCCAAAGCGTTGGGCGCGGGCGAGATGTGACAAAGTTGCATTCTGCTTTGCAAATTTCATGCAGAATCCAGTGTCCTTCCCGCTTCCTGCCAAACCCACTCCAGCAGAGATGATTCTCAGTTGGCCTACAAGGCAAAAGATGAGCTGCGCGGATGCATGTTTGCTCTGAGAACACCGAGGGCCACCCATAAGATCCCAGGAGTTTGGATATGCGTCCCCTGCAACTGTGGTGAAATTTATCCATTTAGAACTGCCAATGCGCCCCCAAAAGTAAGAAGCAAGGTGCAAAAAACAAAAACAAATATATAGTTGCTGTCGATTTAAGTTATGTTGCTCCGAGAATTGCATGGTGTAAATTCAACAGAACCAAACACCTATCATCCCAGCAAACCACCGTCCAATTGAAAGCATGATCCTTCCAGGAAGAGATGGATCAAAACCTACTATAGCATGACTAGGGGAGATGAACATCCATAACTACCGCCTGTTTGGGGTGAGCAGAAGGGTGCCAGTGTTTTTTGACCCACAGCCACATGTGTAACATGGTCATAAATAGGCAACTTGGAGATGTTTTTATTGCTGATACTTTGGCCCAAGATGAAATGGTACTTCGACTAGATACTTACTAAATACTATCGTTATAATACTTCCAATGGCGACCTGATCTGTGAAAAAAACAGGTTTCACCGATACAAACCTCTGATTTTGCACCAAGAATGATGATGGAGTTTAACCAACACAAGAATCTAACCAGCAGGAAAAATAAGGGATTTGCACATGGCAGAGCATGGTGACATGGTGATAGAAAATCTAGGGCTGGCTGAGTAATTTTGGCAAACGAGTTTCCACATGGATGTGTGCCACCATTAAATACACATGGGCATATTTCAATATATCATTGCACCTACGGTGGCTTCCCTCCTTCTCACTAGTTGGAACTATGAGGCCAAATGAGTATTTACCAAACAGAGAAAACAACAGGATACCATTCCCTCCCAATTTTGCGCGTTTCCATTTGATGATCCTCAACAGGGCCTTGGGTTCCTCGTGTAAAATGATGAGCAACTGGCGTAGATGTCGTTCTTCGCCTTGTTTTTGAGTTAATTTTAGTAACCCCTTGAAAGATAGTAACACCTAGAAAGATAGAAAGTCGGTCCACCACTAGTCACTAGTCTAGTAGGAGTTTTCTTCTCTATCTTCTTGGGGAAGTGTTATAAACCCTTGCAAGCCAGTTACTAACATCGAATAATTGTAATTTCAAGCAGGAACCATTGCCAAGCCCTCTTAAGTCCTCGTAAGTCCTCAAGGCCAGCAAGGGCGCCAAGTTGTTGAACAAGGCCGAGGCGGAGGCGAGGCGGATCATTCAATTGCCATGATGCGGGGCCTGCAGGATAGGTACAAGGTGGTGCCCACGAACTATGCCTTTTTAAAGGCCACTGACTATGGATATGTCTGAGAAACACCTAGCTATAATTTATCTATCTCTTGGGGGCTCCAAAGCAGCAATTTGCTTCGACAGTCAACTGTTGGATTTTCCTGGTGGAAATTCATCGGATCCGTTGGGACCAGTTAGGCTATCATGGCTATCATGCTATATTATCCTTTCGCAATCAAAAACATGGCAATTTCAAATCCCCAGCTAGATGACTTTCCAATTTCCAATTTACATTATTTTAAGACATTGAGATTTGTAATAAATTTAACTGCTAATTTTTCTACAGTCCGGCCAGCCAAACATTAGGCTCGAAGTAACTCCATAGATGTGAGTTTCATTGTATCTTCAACCACGTGATTGAAGTCTCTATTTCGCTGGTGTTTGACAAGGTGTGACCCGCTGACTCCCGCTGACCCATTGCCATTTTGTTTCTGTTAGTCAATCCCTCCATAGTTGCTGGCTTTCTCCCTCAGTTTGGCGACTTGATCCCCGAGTTGCTGGTTTTGTGCTCAAAAATTGCATCTCCAAAAAAATGGATGGTTTTTTGAGGGTTTGGAGTATTCAGGCTGACCTCTCTTGCTTCGGTGAAAACATACCCCTTGTTGATCGCTTGTGGCTATAATTGGCTATATATCTTGGGGACCCAGGGGGGTATTCCTATTGTTTTTTTGATTACAATAATTGCTGTTTTTATTTGGGAGTCCCATGGGATAGCGTATTCAACCACGACACGTCAACCAAATCAACCAACGGCTTCCCCGAGCGTCTCTCTCCCAGGTGGAACGCATCACTGCGGAGCCACGGGCACAGCTGGAGGAAAAGCTGAAAGAAGTGGAGGAGCGAAGCATTGGCGTTGCAGAAGCTGATTGGCTGGGGATAACCCCCAAAAAAGTCACTGATAGTAACTGGGTTTATTCCATGATTCCATGATACTGTTTTGAACCAAATAGTTACGGGAACTATAACCTATGGGGATAGCCAACAAAAGTGGGAACATCATATAGGATTGGGATGCGGATTTAGTCACCAAAACCCATGGTTGTTTTTTTGTTTAGAATTTGCTTTTGATTCTTTACGGATTTCGATGATTTAACCATCAAGGGGATTTGCCATCATGCAAAGGCTTGGTTGACAGCGGCACTTGGGGATTCAACCATCCCCGGTTCCCATGGAAAAATTGGCCAACAACAAGGAATTAAAGAGCACGGGGAATATCCACCAACAATGATGATATGATACAAGATGGTGCCCTGCAATTACAAGTTGGTTTTTAAGCCCCACTGCCTCTAGATATATCAACCATAGAATTCACCTAGGTATCGGCCAACTTAGCTATCTTTGGGGCGCCACACCTTTGTTACATTATTAGTATATAGCCTCAGACAGCAGTAAGGCAATGGGAACCCAACTCCTGAAAAGGTGAAGTTCCGTGACCATGGATTTTTTAGGCAGTTCTGAAGATCATGGCCAGTTGGTGGAAGTGCCCGCTTTCCACAGGAGAAGGCCTCCACGGAACTCTCCAAGAGTCCGGTTGCTGCGACTATTTTTGCGGGTTGTAGATGGTTTGTCTTTTTGTTTTGTCTGGTTTATATGGTAACCAATCACCATGGGATGTTTCGTAGGATATTAATGGGATAGAATATGATATGTTAACCGACAACACTATGATAGTTGGGTCTGTGTGAAAGTGTGGTATATCCCCAACATGGCTGCAAACTAAAGAAAACAATGATTCACCAGTGGATTTTGGAGTACCTTATTTTCAGACAAACCCATCTGTTTCTTGATATGGTTTGATATAATGATGCTGAGAGAGAGAGATATATTATATATATATATACATACATACATATGTATGACTACCATGGTTTTGATGATTACTGCTATTAGTTATTGTTATAGTTATATATATATATACACGTAGTGATTGTTTGGTGATGTTTTGTGTTGACATGTTGATTCATGATGATTATTGGGCGATACCGAGCTAGTTTTATTCGTGATTTGTGGCCTAGCTGTGATCCTAAGGTAAAGTATTACCTTGTAAGAGAGAGAGAGAGAAAGACGGACAGCTTCATAGGTGAAGAGACAGATAGAAAGTTTGAATGCGCAGACATAGTTTATTGTTTCTCTTTGCATGATACCCACATGCGTGCTACACGTGTCCTGAACTAATTGCCCGGACCCAGACACACACGCAAGATGTCATGACATGTGAGATCTTTTGGATCCAGGTGTGTATGTTCCAATTGGGTACTGGGGATGTCAAGAAACTATTTGGTACCTGACAAGTTTTTGTTTCCGGCGCGCCTGCGATTTTCAGGTTTCGCAGTACAAAGTTCCGCTCCCCGACATCAAAGTGCCAGATATCAAAGTGCCAGATATCAAAGTGCCGGAGGTGAACCCCCCCGATGCCCCTTGATGGCAAGCTGAGAATGCATGTTGAGCCTCCCAAAGAGCACAAACTTTCCAATTTCTATGCTTTTGTTGTGTTGGACATGTGGAGGGCTCAAGAGGCTCTAAATCTTGGAACGGAGCCATGTATCCAAATGGATCAAGACCAATCCTACCCTTCTGTCACCACATCATTCTATAGATACATGTTTTGAAGCATGTTTGATTAATTACGGAGGGAGTTTAGAAGTCAAACTTCGACAATAAATGGACAGATGAAAAGCAGAGGTGGGAAGAGTCAGAGAAGAGAAGGGAAGAAGAGAAGAAAAGAGAATATCAGCGAAGAGAAGGAGTCAGAAGAAAGAAGATCCAGGCGCGCGAAAAGGTAGGAAAGTCGCGAAACACTATGTTTTTCCAATGATTTGTGGCTCCGGAGGGCCGAAAGGTAGGCTCGCTAAAGCGGCGGGTGCGGAGCCATCTGGCCAGGTGAGAGATGAAAAGTTGCACGCTGCTGTGGTGTGAAGCACATTTGCAAGTGAAACAGTTAGGAGCACCTCACGTTTGGAGCACTTTTGGAAGTTGAGCTGTCGAAAAGGTGCACGCCGTTGTGGCACGAAGCACATTTCCAAGTCAAAATGTACAAAACACTGCGAGACGTCCTCAACCCCTGAACCTGATAATGTCAAAAAGTCAGCAATTCTACGAGACTTCCTCAATGTTTGAGGTTGGCAACATCAAAAACGAAGCAATTCTGCGAGACCTCCTTCAAAAATGGCAAGTTGAGTGCAGAGCTGACGGCCTTGTACCATTGCGTTTTGCAATTTTTTCCACTCCACCTGTCTAAAGTACAGCGCGTGCCACGCAAAACTGATGCCGGGTCATACAAAGTGCCGCACCTGTCACGCAAAATCATCTTAGCAAACCTCAAGATTTGATGCTCCAAAATGCAACCCCTCTCAGGAGATCAGCGCCCGGACCTCCTAACAGCTCTGATGAACATGTCTCTTGCACTGCGCCTGCCACGGAAAATGCATCTTTGCTTCAAATGTCCCACGCCTGCCATCGTTTTTGGAAATGCTACAAAACCCTGACGTTTTGCTCACTTTTGACAAGGTGGCCACGCGAGGCGAAACGGCATCTGAACGTCCAAAAGTGGTCCGAACATGTGGTGTTTTTAACATTTTGACTTCGAAATGTACTTCGCGCCACAACGGTGTGCACTTTTTCGACATCTCAACTTCCAAAAGCGGTCTGAACGTGGTGTGCTTTGTACATTTTGGCTTGGAAATGTGCTTCGCGCAATAACGGCGTGCACTTTTTCGACATCTCAACGTCCAAAAGTGGTCCGAACATGTGGTGTTTTTAACATTTTGACTTCGAAATGTACTTCGCGCCACAACGGTGTGCACTTTTTCGACATCTCAACTTCCAAAAGCGGTCTGAACGTGGTGTGCTTTGTACATTTTGGCTTGGAAATGTGCTTCGCGCAATAACGGCGTGCACTTTTTCGACATCTCAACGTCCAAAAGTGGTCCGAACATGTGGTGTTTTTAACATTTTGACTTCGAAATGTACTTCGCGCCACAACGGTGTGCACTTTTTCGACATCTCAACTTCCAAAAGCGGTCTGAACGTGGTGTGCTTTGTACATTTTGGCTTGGAAATGTGCTTCGCGCAATAACGGCGTGCACTTTTTTGACATCTTTTGACTTGGAAATGTGCTTCGCGCCACAACGGCGTGCAACTTTTCATCTCTCATTTGACCACATGGCTCCGCACCCGCCGCTTTAGCGAGCTTACTTGTCGACCCTCCGGAGCTTTTCGCGACTTTCCTACCTTTTTCGAGCACCTAGATATTATCTTTCTTGATCTTCTTTCTTCTTCTCTTCTCTTGTCTGACTCTTCCCATCTCTGCCTTTCATCTGTCCATATTGTCGGAAGTTTGATTCCTAAACTTCCTTCGACAACTACACTACTACTACTACTACCACTACTACCACTACTACCACCACTACCACCACTACCACCACTACCACCACTACCACCACTACCACTACTACCACTACCACTACCACTACCACTACCACTACCACTACCACTACCACTACCACTACTAACACTACTACTACTACTACTACCACCACGGCACTACACTACAACGACATGTACAACTACAACTACACTACAACTACAGTTACAACTACAACTCCTACAATTATTGCAACTAGTACAATTACTACAATTAAGACAATTACAACTTCAACTACATTTTCAACTACAACTACAACTACAACCACAACTGCAACACTACAACTTCAACAACATCAACCCCACTACAACTACAACTGCCACTACTGCACCACACCACACTACATCCAAGAGTTGTGGGTGAGATGACCACTGCAACCATTGCAACCACTCCAAAAAGCACAACTCCGACTCCAACCACCTTTCGGTCCATGAGTGGATTCGCTCTGCCATCCATGCATCACAACAACTCACCTCTCCTATAGAGCTCTATCCTTGAAACTTCCGCCACCGCCTTGTGCGCTACTATTGGTGTATATATATATTATTTAATGTAAAATATACTAATAGTTTCTATTTTATGTAAGAACAAAATGATAGTGATTTCGTATCATTTGGTTGGTACGTTAAGTTGTTCATATTTGTTGTTTATTTCTTTGTTTACATCGAAACAAATAGCTTCATAAAACACAGATATGAGCAAAACAAATAAAAAAATCATAGAATTTCTAGATCATGTCATTTTCCTTGGTAAACCATGGTATGTAGTTGTTGATATCTACACGCTGTTGACGTTTGACTTGGGTGTGTTGTGAGGTGAAAATGCCCAGCTTTTCGATGCCTTTCAAACTGCCAGAGATCAAACTCCCAGAGAAGTTGGTGGGCCATGGGCCATGGATTCAATGGATGATGGGTGAAAATTTGCCTAGAAATCTTTTAAATGGACAGAAACCCACAAAAAAAAAACATGGAATCCGGAAATTCGGAAGTTCAAATGGATTTTGTTGAAGTTTCGGTGGTTCATATAATTTGTATGAACCCAAACATCAGTTGCAAGGTTCATGGGCGATAAAAAGTACTTACAATACAAACATCTCCCAATTTCCAGGACAGAGACATGCAGTAGCGACATCATGTCACGACGTTACGTTTGAATAATACAGTTATGGTCATTTTTTAGTTCAAACTAGTTATAAATTCGATTATACATTCCATAAATGGGGTTATAAGTGCTTATTAAACTGGTAAAGGGCCATAGCTGTAGGATTATGTGGAATCCTCCCCACATTTGACATAGCCGAAGTCTTCAGGCTGGTGGTTGATTCAACAAATGGTCTCGGCCTTTTCACTCCTGGGGGGGTTAGCATTTCAGTGGCAGAGATCATGTTTGGGAGTATCTGCCATAATGTGTAAATCGGGGTTTCCGCATCCAGGGCGGTTTACAATGTGAACCTTCACTTGTTGATTCACTTGTTGAACATGGATCAGTTTCCGCTTGTGACTGGGAGATAACGAGTTTCATCTATATAGATCTACATAGTTAATGTATGTTAATGTTGAACATAATCGATATATTTATTAATATATATATACATATATATATATATAGATATAAATACCCCTAAAGATCTATTTAGATCCATTTAGTTAATGTTAGTTTCTTTGCCCAACAGATCCGATCCAGATCCTGCAAGCCTCATCGTTTCTAATCCACCAGGGTCATCAAGTCACACGATGCCAATGGACCTTACCCAAAACCCAAAATGACAATGGCTCAAAGCTGCAGTACCTCTGACATAAAGTTTGGTCGTGGCAAGGCACATATTCAAACAATTTCAATCATCCAATTTGAAGGATTTTCCGAATTTTGAAACAAAGATGGCAATGAATGAAATCCATCATTTAGTTCCGCGCGCCATGTCCCCCCAAATTTAGGTTTGAGAAACCCCATTCCAACCACCGATTAATCATCATGTTCCTTCAGTTTCCATTATCTCATCGCCATTAAAAATAAACAACCCCAGATCCGATGGTTCAGCATCATCTGTCCAATTGAACTTGCCAGTTGGGGATAAATATGGATACCCTCTGGTAATTTAACATAACTATGGAAAATCACCATTTTCAATGGGTAAATCAACTATAAATAGCCATTTTCAATAGCTATGTTAGTTTACCAGAGGGTAACATCCCCATTTTTTCAACCCAGAGTTGGGGCAAAAAAGGGCTCCACGGCATCTCGTTGCAGGGATCGAAGCCTGCACCCCCTGCGGCAGAAAAGGTCGAGGCCAACGAACGATACCCTTGTTATCCCTTGTTTAAGGGTTAAAATTGGCGGCTTGAGAAGCTATTTTGGGATTATTTTATATTCTTATAACATACTATAAGTATTAGATAGTATAAGCCATAATTGACGAAGTACCTACTTACCAACTAGTATTTCCACCATTTTATTGGCTGGAAAACGGTGGTATTTGTCATGGCTAGAAAATGAGGTTGGAATTTCAGCTGATCGGATTTCAGATAATCCAAGCACTTGAACCTGCTCAGCAATGTGGTCCTATTTTGAAAACAAACAACTCTATTGACTATTGTTAACTTTGAGTTTAGGTAAAACGGTTTGAATTTGAGAAAGTGTTACTTTTGTGCCAGCCAAAAGTTTAAGTTTGCTTTTCCAAAGCCTATCAGTGTGGCTTGTGCGTGGTTATGCGGCTGCCGAAGCAATGCGATCGATGATCAATCGGATTTATGCACAACTTGATGTCAAAACACGTTTTATCAGATTGAAATTATTGATTTGATCAGTTGTAGTTATACACACATACACATATCATAATATTTATATATATATATATGTCACAATACACGACACGTATGTATTGATATGTATGTCCACACCTCAAATATCACCTTTCGACATAATATATACACAATATGTATGTGTTTTTAGTAGTGCAGGTGTAGCCACCAAAAAACAGCGAAGGAGCCAAGCGAAGAGAGCGAGGAAGCACCGAAGGCGGCTGGCATCCGATGGTATATCGGGTACTTCATGGGGATTCAACCAGGAACTCGGCAACATGATTTCTATGATATACCCTCTGGTAAACTTACAGTGTGCTATTTAAAATCACCATAGAAATAGCTGATTTACCCAGCTATAAAAAAAGTATTTTCCAGTTCGTTAAATTAGTTTACCAGAGTGTACATACAATAGTATATAAAGATATACGATTCTTGATGTCAAAGCTTTCTAGTTGGAATACTTGTGCTAGTTGTTGAAATCGGAATGCTGGGAGGGCCGTTACTTATCTAGTGGATAAGACGCATCCCTCATGCATCAGACCCGGGAATCAAATCCCATGGCTCGATGAGAGCCCAATGGAGTGATGTCATCCAAGCACTGGCAATCACAATCAAGGATGAACATAGAGATATCCACAAAAATATTGTACAGCCAAAAGAGAATATATGTTTTTTTGGGGGGGGGGCAGACACAATATGCATATGTCACTAAAGATCCCAATTTGCAGACAGTCAAATCAACATTTGCTTAGGGGCATCCATGGTAGTCCGATAGACGTACATAGAATCATGAATCAGACATATACTATGTACACTATACGTACATTCATGTATGTGTTTGTGCGAGCCTTTGGGCTTGACACTGAACAAATTTACAGCAGTATTAGCCTTCGAAGTAAACGCGTCAGCTTGCAGTTAGAGGAAGAAGATAAGAATCTGGGCAAGATAGAACAACATCAGAACCCTTCACCGTAAATCATTGCCAATAGGGGGCAATAGTCACAAATTGGGGCACCTCAATTCCTGTGAGTATATCCCCTTTCAAAATGATGACGTGCTGGGTGTCCAACCTGGCCGAAGTTAGATTATTTAGATTGCCAATTTTGTTAATCCAGCTCACCTATGTTGCCAAGTTTAATCGACATTCCTGTGGTTTTTTTGCGTTCAATCGCCATTGTTAGTCGTTTTTTTATCCCACTTCTGGACCAGTCTCCTCCTATCCCCAGGCCAACCCCCCACCACCCCTACCATCCCAGGCCCCTGAGAAGGCAGAGGCCGATCTCTTTAGCTGAGTCCCTGTGAGCTGAGATCCAACTGCTGTACGTTTCTAGTTCAGAGACACACGTAAATCCACCCAAATCCAATAAGGCCCTTTAAGTTCCATGGAAATATGTCTACAATTCCTACAAGATATGGACGAATATGATACGATCCGATTTACTAAGTGTAGGATTAGATCGACAAACCCACAATGTCAACCTATTATATTCTAAACATAGACATTTAATTGGTAAACCCTACATGATGTTTGGGTGATTGCGGGGCGAAGTTCGTCACTTGCTTGCCAGATTTGCTGGTGAAAGTATGCAAATAGTACGGTGGAGACATCCCCCAAGCATATCCCACCTAACCACATCATGATGTAAACCATGTAAGCTGACCTATCCAATCTTCTCCATGGTTATAGTAAAGAGCCGCTGGCAAGTTGTAGGACCGTATGTGACACATCCTTCGTTTTCAAAAACGATTGCACCATTTGGTGATGCTCTTGCCATAGGAAGCAGTCAGATCATGTCAGATCTAAGCTCTGCTGATTGGTTGACTGATATGGTTCCTGACCTTCCGAAGATTGGTCATATTCTGATGAGGATCACTTGGAAGGCAATGAATGTTCAACAGATGTCTAGGGTCATGACCGATATTTTGTTTATGGTTTTATGTATGTGCTTCATCCAATATATATATATATATGTTATTATTGTTTTTAAACAAATATAGAATAGAATGTGTTTAGCATGTATTTTGTTTATGATACACAACATATAAGTCAAAATATAACAACAACATATTGTTATTACTATTGTTATTTGTTATTGTTTTTATAAGTAAAATTATGTAAGTTAGTATTATATATTTATATTATAGTTATTTCTTTCTTAGATAGTATGTTTTTTTTATAGACTAGTTATTTTTTCATCCAACCCATACAGTCGCTGGTCATGCACAACGAAAGAACAGCGTTTATTTTTCACCATATGGGTGGTACCCTTTGATCCACTAGCTATGACCAACATCCAGGATAAGGTTACTGTTGATTTCAACTGGCGGTTTTGGCGAGTCCCAGAAAACATCGTTGGTGCCAACATCCTTTGTACGTCCATCCCGACAAGTGGTAGAGCGAATAATAAACATACAATTTGGGGAATATATATATATATATATATATCAATATCTATATATATATAGATATCCATGCATGCACTGGCATACACACACACATACATTACATGATATACATTACATTACGTTACGTTACATTGCATTAGGTTACATTATACTACATTACTATATATATATATATACTGGGGATTGTTAATTGTTGGGGCGAATCACGTGAATTAAGATGACAACCCCCATTGAAAAACGTGTTTCAGACCGTTTATGAGGGTTGAAACCACCAACCACCGAAGGTTGCTCTCCATCCCTGTCTTATACACCAGCTTCGTGAAGATCAGATGGAATCTCTAAAAGAATCCTGGGAGTGCCCCTGGAGAGACATTTTTTTAAGCTGCGACCACCGGCCCAAGACCAGTCCATGGAGTATGACTGAGCTAAGAAATGGCACATGTATGGTATTTGTATGTACTTGTTATGTCCCAACTGAGAAACTGAGGTTTTGAAGCCACGTATCAACTGGTAGTTGGGCCAGGTTGTGGTACAAGTTTCAGATCTGGACATTTGAAATCGGGAGATCGCTGAAAAAATGCAACCGCGGAGCCGTGGCTGATGATCCGGCCATTTCTAGCATTGCTCCTTATATAATCCTATTTAAGTGGTCGATAGATGTCAACCTATATACATTAGTATTCTTCAGCTTTTCTCTTACTTTGATGTGTTTTATTAATTCAGTTTGTCAATATAATTCCATTTAGTATCCAGGATGCCTTGTTTTGTCTTACTTTGCCAGGGTTGTGATCAATGCACCAAACAATGTCTTTGCTAGTTTGAGAGGTACACCAGACACGCCAGAATCTTCCCAGTGCATGCTGGCAAACAAGTGATTCACCTCTATACTGTTTAACTTGGGGGGGTCATGTTTTAGTAGCACATGAATTCTTACCATTTGGGCTCGATCTGAAATCAACCAGGGGTTTGTGAGTCTAGGGTTGACACAACGCTTGGCCTGTTGAACTCTCCATCCTCAGTGGAGAGCCTGCTTTGTTAGGTAATGGCAAGAGTTTCAAATCGTGGCGTATCATCAGTGCCTTGACAACACGGTCTGGTACATCAAGGTATAACCATTTCTGTTTGTGTTATAATTTGTATATACATGTTTAAGAAAGGATATACTACCCCCAAATACCCAATGTCTCCTAAAATGGAGTTGAATTGATTTGGTTATTTCTATGTTTGCTCTTTGTGTGTATGTGCACATGCACATAGTATCCAAAATAATGTGTATATATATATATTGCTATATGTGTGAATAATTATATATATATACATTATATACACTACATACACATGTTTCCATATGCGTTCGAAGTTCTTTTTGTCGCTTCGACATGTTGCAGCCATGGCTTTTGTTGGCCATCGATGCTGGCTGCGCTGCGCACGCTGCGCACATCGGCATTGCTGGGGACACCCAGGGGTTCCGGAATCCCTTCCATCATTTTGATGGGTAATCCCTTCCTATAAGTAGCTATACATGGGGAATTTAGCCAAATATGATTTTTTTTCACCGGACTCAGCTATCCTGAGATTTCCTGAAATGGGGATATACAGCCAACAACAAAATATATGTAATTATATGTAATTATGTATATATATATATATAATTATATGTATATAAATATAGAGTTGTGAGAAACCAGCAATGTAACGAGGACTCAACCATTCCTAGAAATGACTATAAACCACGAGCCGCTGGTGTTGATCAGGGTTCGTCTGAAAATGGAGCACCTCCAATCCTGAAGGATTGTCATCATTGGTCCCGTTTGGAGAACAGTTGACAATTTCTGTGAAAAACTCAATTGTTGGGCAAACTCATCTATTAATCTGGGAAAATATCAGGCTAACATGGACGATATAATCGCGGTATGATGGGGATGTAACAGGACATGCGGTTCATTGGTGTTCGCTTGTCTTGAAATCCACAAAATACACGGGAGTTGAGGAAATATAGGGATATCATGTTTTTTTTTGCATGGACCCAGTGGGCAAATATAGGATACTCCCTGGGATAATGACTAAAACGCAGGCTGTCCATGATCCCACATACCTGGCCAAATCTAGCTCACGGACCTGACGAAACATGGTTTGTTTATAAACAAACATAAACAAACTATTTGGATTTTGCGCATATTTTGTTTGGCAAATCTGGACAAACCTTAGTTTGGTCATGTTTGGTCGGTCTGTGGGTATGTGATCTTGTTTTGTTGGGGTCGTGAATGGAGGAAGATGCAGGCTATGCGGCTATCCCTTCGAACAACTTAGATTGTTGAGTATCTAAATTTGGTAATTTATTGTTCTTTGATGATCATCCGCAAGGCTCGCAACGACTTATTACACAACCAGGGTGTGTTTTCTGTTAATTTGTCGGGATGTGCCAACCTACAACTTCAAACCATGCACCAATAATGATTACAAGTACCAGATACAAACAGGAACAAACTGTCATCAATATCTATCAGTGGCAACTGTGAATTTGGATGAATTTTGGCTGCCTATATAATATTACGAAAGTGTTGAGTCGCGGAAACAGTAGCCCACATATAACCACATAGAAGTCATATGAACAGACCAATGTTGGTAGTTCAGCCCACTTAGTTCAATGGATTGGTTTAAGGGATGGGAAAATCTTCACCGGAAACCATGGATTTTCCCATGAAGATCATGGGGGTTTTCCGAAGCAACTTTTCCAGTTGATCCAATGGGATGAGCCAGTGTCATCACACGTGTCAGGAGATGGTAATTTCCAAATTATATATATATATATATTAAACAACAAGGGCTCTACATGAATCTTGGATAGAATCATGTTTTCTTATACTTGGAGACTTAAATCATCTCAGACCGGCACAGTTTTTTTTTCATATCTAGTGAAATGTCAATTAAAAAGAAAGCAGTGTCTACCCTCTGGTGATTTAACTTAGCTTTCATAGCCACGGGTCGTTTGTTCATTCAGGTGACTATGCACTCACCAGAGATCATGTCCTATGCCAACATCACCAACCTGATGAACCAACGGCAACTTAGATTGATCGGGCCCCCCAAACGATAGCTAAGCTGGTGAACATCACTTGAATAACCAGTGTTTATGATACTTATAACTTACAACATATTATAACTTATAAGTACAGTATTCATAGGGGTTATTACCAGGTACCAAGTATAAATTCCTGGGCATGACAGGTCGAGTAGACATGTGATATGCACTGATATGACAGGTTGTTTACCTCTGAGCTTTGCAACCAATCGTTGGAAATGCAGCAACTCCACTACTACCAGTCCCCTGCTTTAAACAGGTATTTGGTCTCGTTTTCTTTGTTCCAGAGGAAGAGATTTCCGATACCTTAAGAATTAGACTGACCCTCTGAGGGATTCGACTTCACCTTCCAAAGTTATCCCCTTGTTTGGAGTTCCCTCTCTTCAACATGGCGATGTAAACTGCATGGTCGGACATGATGGGCTTGTCCAACAGAGGTTCTTCCTAAAAGATTTTGCCCAAAAAAAATGCCATAATTTTGGGTATTCCCTATTTCTGGTCAAAACCCGATAATGGATATGTGAAAATTGAATCCATATTTAGATATCATTATTTATTGAAGGCTACACCATTCTGAAAGTAGATGGCGCAAAATAAATAAATAAATAGCGACGGTAGATGGCGCAGCCTGGCCGTAAAATCGCTATTTTTGGCAGATGGCGCGACCCCGAATAGCATCGCTATTTGGTAAATAGCGATTGCTTTCTCTTTCTTTGGATTCTCACCACATTTTGCACTAGGCAGGGCTACTGCCGGTGGAGCTGCCATCTTCAAACCCAATGCAGCCATATTTTTGAAGCAAATGTGGCTCACACACACACATACACTAACCACGCACTGTAGATGGCGCAATTCTCTTTGGGAGGCATCAATGCACACAGCGAGCTGTAAATAACACGATTCACGGGGAAAAACATACCGAAATTAAGCAATTGACCCTAGATCATATGCACGCACGCTCATACACTAACTGTGCACTGTAGATGGCGCCATTCCTTTCCCTTTGTTCTTTCCCTTTCTCCTTTCCCTCTCCCTTTGCCTTTTTCTTTCTTATTTCCCTGTCCCTTCTCCTTTCTTTTTTCTCCTGCCCCTTCTCCTTTCCCTGTCCTTTCTCCTTTCTCCTTTCTCCATTCCATTTCTCCATTCCATTTCTCCTTTCCCTGTCCCTTTCTCCTTTCTCCTTTCCCTTTTTCCTTTTCCTTTTCCTTTCCTTTTCCTTTCCTTTTCTCCTTTCTCCTTTTTCCTTTCTCCTTTCCCTTCCCCCTTTTCCCTTTTCCCTTTTCCCTTTTCCCTTTCTCCTGTCCCCTTCTCCTTTCCCTTTCCCCTTTCTCCTTTCCCCTTTCCCTTTCTCCTTTCTCCTTTCTCCTTTATCCTTTGCCTTTCCCTTTTCCTTTCCTTTTTTCCTTTCTCCTTTCCCTTTCTCCCTCTCCTTTCTCCTTTCTCCTTTCCCTCCTCCTTTGGGAACCTATAGATGGCGCAATCCACAATTATGGTTTTTAAAAAAAAAAATGGACCCCAGATCTTAATACTAAGTTTAAACTAACCTAGAGGAAAACAGGTTGTTTTCAACAACGTGTGTCGGGAACCTATAGATGGCGCAAAACACCCCATCCCTCAAGTGGTCCATAGATGGTGCATTTCAAAAATCCGCGCCATCCATTTTCATAATGGAGTAATTGCTGGGTATCAATGACATCCCATGATATCATGGTATTATGTATATCCCCATGAGATAGACTGGTTTGGGTCCCAAATATGGTTCTCTTAATATTAGTTGCAAATATTGTTACGTTCAAACCTATGTATAATATATATAGTATGATGATTCTCAAAATCTATATACTATTGTTCAGGGGTGTCAGACCACTATATCATCAGAGGGGATTTTCCACTCTTTCTGGGCAAGCCTGTTGTCCAACGCAGGTATGCCGAGCGGCATTCATATGGTTACCACATCTTGAACCACACCATTGACACTGCGCGAGTGCCACACTGGTCAAAAATACATGCGATTCTGATGCATCTGCCGGAGTCTTGTCATTTAACAATATAATGATTGGAGTCTCATTTTTGGAGATAACTTCGTGCAAGATTGTTGAAACATATCTATATAGAGATTATATACATATTATGTTTATATAACATATATATATATATGGGATAGAACATCACCAAGAAAGGCATGTGGATGTCCCATGGTGGTTCCAATCATGTTTCGATTTTAACAATGGAAAATCCATTTTTTAGTGAAGGTGTTTACAGGGAAACCCATCGTTTCATGGAGGAATTTCCCAGGAAGTTGGACTTCAACGAGGATGTGACGCCATCTAAAATAGGATAAAATAGGAATATCTAATATATGTATGGTGATGATATATAACCATATTATATTATGATTATGTATTGGTATATCTACATATATTATAATATGGTTATATATTACCATACTAATATAATATCTGATATATATATATATATACATATCTAAGAGACACCATCTAATATATCCATGACATATCCATGATATATTATAATATGTATGCGTGCGTGCAATTATATTTGTGTATATACTGTATATACAGTGTACACTCACACAGTAGATCGCTGGCAGGTCCTTTCAATTGTGTGGCGATGTTTCATCCCACAAAATGGGATGATGATCCCAAATGTTTTTCTGTTTCACTTTTTAGGTGGAGGGATGGATCAATCAGCACCCAGGTTCACGTTTTTGTTTTTCAACATGGCTATGCCGGCTATGTATAGTCATGTTCAACGGGTCAAGCGCCTACAGTTTTCTGTTTTGCAGCACATGTTTGTTTACCTGATGGTAACACGTTCCTGCCGCATTGCATCGTGAGAGTGCTTGATTAGTGGCTCCTGAGTGTGTTGCTAGCAGGACCTCAACCACATGGCCATATGTATATGTTTTTCAGAGGTAGTGGCAAAGCAGAGTACCCACAAAATGAATCAGCATGGGACGTGTGTGTATGTGTGTATATATATATATATCATTGGAGCATGATTTGACCACCATTCTTACCCCGTTTTTGGAGCCCCTTTTCTACCCATATTTGTTGACTATATAGACTCCCACAAGTACTAAGATTACCAGCTCTTCAGCACTTTTAAGCCGTGTTTCCATAGCATATCAAGTCACCAGTTTTGGACCACCCAGAACCCTGGATGTTCACCACGAGTTCTCAGAGGACTATGACTATGTCTTCTGGATCGATGCTGATGCCGTCTTCTACGATCAAAGCAAACGCATTGAAGAGGCGTTAAACTTGGAGGCTACATGGCAATGCAGCAAGCTTCGGGTATTCCCAGCTTGGTGTTGTTAAGTATTCAGCATTGTCAGCATGCGTGTCTTCATCACCAACCGAAACAAATGGGTGGAAACCCATGATTCCCTCAATTCTTCTTTTGTTGATGTGTTTGTTATTTGTTCTTGCCTAAGATGATCTAGGACGATGCGTTCAAGTTTGACTTCTAAGATGGACCTATATAGCCTATATAGATATTTATACATATCCATGCATTTCTACATGTTTGCTAGCAGTGGTAGTGTCGCCCCCTAGGAGAAGGAGCAGGACATCGAGATCTGGGGTCAGGATATGTGGCCCGACTATCCCAGTCTCCACCGAAAGGAGATCATGGATGGGGGCACTTTTCTGGTGCGGAACAGCTTGTGGACACGTCGGTGCCATGGGGGCCTTTTTGGGATGGCTTTTTTGGATGGGGGATGGCTATGATGACATGGTGATTTTCGAGGTTTCCTCAGAACATCTCAGCTGACACGGATTTATGTTGTTTTTCGAAATGGCAAAATGATGATGTCTGGCTGGTGGTTTGGAACATTTTTTGTTCCATAATATATGGGATGTCATCCTTCCCGTTGACGAACTCATATTTTTCAAGATGGTTATTGCACCGCCAAGCAGATGTTCATTGATAGCTGGTGTTCATGTTTTCCTGTCAAACCTCAGGATTTGCCTTTGGCCACCACCTTTGATCGTGGCTATGAAGTGGCCATCAAATTGGGTACACGAAATGTTCAGACAAAACAGTACAATTTTGTTGAAAACAACATGTGTCTCTCATACCTATCACTATCTAATATCCTTGCTATCCTTGCTATTTTCGATGAGATTCACAACTCGCAGGTTTTTCATCGAAATGTACTACTATCCACCCTGCCAAGAGTTCCTGAATTTCACTGAGCAGCTACCTGGTGATACTTGGAATTGGAGATAATATGTGGCATGGGACGTGCAGCCAGCGGTGCTGTTTCTGAGTAATTTGTTGTCTATCAGAAACTATCCAATGTTGATGTCAATTTTATTTTTGACTCGTAATCCCTTTTGGTCACTAGGGCGGACATTTAGAGAGGCTATGGGATATGTTCGGATTTAACATATCACTCAGATCTTCGATTCCAAGTCAGTAACAAATGATTTAATTTGTGTATCATTGTCCATGTTCTTTAGTTAAAACATACACATGCTTTGCAGTTCTACACAACTTCCAGCCGAGAATTCACAGCAAGTGGAACCTGAGGTTCTGCTTTTCGGTGGCCTATGAGGCCAACTTTCTGGACGTGAAGCGGAAGACCAAGATTCTACCGACTCCGAGCCTCAACCATCATCGCCTACCACCTCCAACTGAGTCAGGGACCCCAGACCCCGGGGACACCCAGGAAGATGAAGAGCTGAAAGCTGGGTGATTTGTTTCGCTTTCCGAAAGATGTTGGCTTAATGCTGAGAATAAAATGACTTGTGGTTGCAACGTGTTCTTTTTGGCATGTTCCACGCGATCCAAATGGAGAGATTTCTTGAGTGGAAACCAATTGCGCAGCTTGGACTGCTAATTTGCCGAGTCTTTTTGTTTCTCATTGGATTGGGTGAGTTCCATAGAAATACCTTGGTTCACAAATTCCGCTTCGCTGAAGCTTGCATTATTTATTTCGGTTCAAAGGACCCATGTCATGCATTGGAGTTCTACACCAACTAGGGCGCAACAAATGGTTCCAATTCATCCATTCATTTGTTAAGCCCTTGTGTGTTTATATTCATATAAACCATGTATTTGTTTAGTTTGATCCAATAATTACTCGTGCCCCAAAAGTGTTATTTCATGTTATTTCACCATCAGGTAATGAATACTGATATTTTGTTGATTTTAGTTATTGGTGACAACTGTGTTGTTTGTTTTTGTGTGTTTTTTCCACCCACCTATACGCTTATTCTATGGTTGTTTCTTTTACACCAATATCTTGGGTTTTACATTGCTTACAATCTGATATTACAATTATGGAGAGATCATCAAAATATGTCATGTCATAAATCATAATATGTTGATATCTATTATTGACAATTGTGCTGATATATACATTTACATACATATACACATACATACATATACATATATGCATATGTCGAAATGTTGGAACACCAACAACTGTTTAGTGATTTTTTTTAAAGTAGTCTTCCATTTTTGGCTCGAGCATCCCCCATGATGATTTCGATGATCTCCCATCTAGGGGGTCTGTAGGACGTAAATGTGTAAATGATGGTTAGTAGAGGGAACCATCAAAGAACATGAACTTAATGTCAGGTTGCTGACTTATGATGATTCAGCCAGACCACCGGTTGCTGTACATTGATAGATCCATTTCATGAGGGATTTCCCAACAAGGAAACATATATATATATTATATACATTACATATTCCGTTTATATCATAATATCCCATGATATATCCATACCCATATATATATATAGATCTCATATATATATAAATTATATTACTATAATTCTATACATATCACATATATATATATATTTCATACATATCTCATCTATCATACCCTGGACTATATGAAGTTTCACATCTGCCCGAGGAACGGATCCCTGTTCATCTGGCATTTATCGGGCCGCTCTGAGGAAGCTCGCGAGAGGCATTTCCGCTTAGTCACTTGGTGCCCTTTGTGGATTCGTCGGGACTACGGGATTACGACATGGGAGATACCCTCTGGTTACAGGCTATTGAAAATGGCGATAGAAATAATTGATTTTCCCATGAAAAATGGTGATTTTCCAGTTCGTTATCTAATGTAAACGTTTACCAGAGGGTATAATCAAACATGGCAAGCTGGAAAATCCACCATTTAGTTCACTGATTTTCCCATGGAAACCTTCGTTTAGTTTGGGGATTTTCCCAGCTGGCCAACAGGTCTATGGCAGTCTATGGAGGTTTCCAAAGTCACGGGGGTACCCCACATCATCGAAATTGAAAAGACCATGTTTGTAGTCAAACAACCATGGTGACTTGGGGATCCCCCAGGACTTAAGAAAGCTCCATACGTATCCGGATTAACGATGACTTCACTGTGACGTCATGATGGTTACTGATGGTTAGGATCGGGGGAATCATCCCCAAGTGGCCGTATGATAACAGCTATTTTCAGGTTCGTGAATTACTATAATTCAGCCAGACAAAGTATGTATTTAACCAACGAACATATGGGATATTTACGAACCATGACACGCATACTGAACCTAATGGCTTTTGCTTGGCTGCTTGGTTTTCATGGTCGGACGGCACCCCTGCAATGGTATCTTGGTTTGCAACATGGTTTTCAGGAAAATCCCATGGTTTGAAACATCATGTTCCATCATGTTCCCTGTGAACACTGCCCTTGCAAAGGGTATCCGAATTAGGTCCACTGCCACGGGAGATTGATCGCCATGATAGCCATGGCGGGCAAACTACTGTGACTTTTGGCTTTAGACCCCAACAATAACAAAACTCAAGGTCAAATATGGTCAATTTTCTGGCCTTTCAAGGACTGTTCTTATTTTGTTCAGTTCATGCCACATGAAAAAAGGTAATTAATACATGATACCAGATGTTTAGCAGCAAATTTGATCTCAATCAATCATGTGCAAGCCATGTAAAAAGTTTTGGAGAACATGATTTGCTTGGAGACTTCAAGGTTTCCAAGCAACAGACATGGAATATATATATATATATATATACACAATATGTGTATATATATATGTTCAGCAAGAAATGTGTTAACTAGGAAAGCATCAACACTCTCCAGCGGACCATGAAATATGCTGGACAAGTTGACACTACGCTCCAAGTATTTGTTTGACTTCCAAAACTAGATTGTCTGGTTTTGTACAGCGACATCGGAGCAGCCTGCGGCGCCTTTGGTACCCCATTTGAGCCAGAAATAAATATGAATAGTCATGAGCTAAAAGCAACAGCTCCAAGGATCTCCAAAATACATACATGATATACATACATATGCATACTGCATACTTTTACCTTATCTTGCCTAAATTAGCGTCCTTTTGCGTCTGCAATGGTCTCTGCCGGCGCGGATCTCACGCTGCTCCTTTTGAGCGATGGTCGTGCTTTGACTTGCGGAAGGCCTGGAAAATGCACCATCCCAGCTTTGGAGAATGGAGTATCCTACATCCAGGTGCGGATGGGTCAAGGCTTAAAGAAAGCCCCAGAAGGGACCAAAGACTTTAGATGATTTTAGTGTACATATATATAATATGTATATATATAGTTATACATGCATATATATATATATAGTACACATATATATATATATATATATATATGTCAAAGGGAACTAAACGCTAGGACACTTATCATGTACTTATGTGATTGTGCATTGAAACGCCGTACTGGCTCAAGTCCCTGCGCGAGGAAAAGTCCGAGCTCCGCTTGCAATGCCGTAACGCTGTCCAAAGCTACCAGCATAACGGGTATCACAGCTCAATAACTACATCCAGAACAAGGATCCATTTGTTCACAGGTTATCAGCCGTAGGGCTCACTTCTCCCGCCGGGAGAGTGGTACCCGCGTGCTGGTAGCCGGGCTGTCTGAGCAATTGATTGAGGACGCAAAGGACCAATCAGCTCATCATCGCAAAGATGCAAGGCGGCAGCGGAGATTCGCGCACCACGCAGTTTACCTTCAATGAGAACGCTGCTATGCCGGTCGAGGAGGTCAATCAATCTTCCCCTGGCGACACGGCAGACAGTGGCGGGATACGCTCTACCCGAACTACACAGTCCGGATGGCAAGTCACATCAAACAGACGAAGAATATCCACCCAAAGTACACCTAGATCTTCTCGAAACAGTGCTCGGAGTGATGTTGTCCGCCAAGGGCATCGACCATCTCGAGGACGTACTACTCCAAGGGACAGATCCACCAGGGCCGTGACCGACCGAATTGGTGAGAGGACCGGGGATAGTCGTGTTAAGAGGAGATCAACGGATACTTCTGTGGCTAGTGAACCTATTGCCATGATAGAGGAACTACGGGCACAATGTCAATCCCTACGTAATCAGCTGAACAACATGGAAGCATACGCTGCATCCAGGGATCAACTGATTCATGACATCGAGATCAGATTCACTGAGTATCTTCGGGAACACAATCAGAATGTATTTGATGAGGTCAATGCACTCAATCATAGATTGTCATGTTCCGCAAATGAGGTTGCAGAATATCAAGCAGAACTAATGGTAGCATCTCAGGAAGACGAAGGTGCAACAATACGCATCCAAGACCTTGAACGCCGAGGTGCCCTAATGGAACATGGTGCACGACGGATCCATCAACGTGGTATGGAGATCCAGGAGGAGTACAAGGATGAAGTACATCACCTTCAAGGACTACTGGGTAATACGGAGGCAAGACTACAACAACTTCATCAAACCAATGTCTTAACCACCGATATTGCCAATCGACTATACAATGAGGGTCAAGAAATGCAAAATGATTTCCAGAACTCAATCATGGAATATCGTAATCGATCTGAAATGGCATCCTTCTCTAGTAATCAACTTGAAGTGATTAGCCAACAACAATCAATTGCAGTTCATGAATTATCTGAGCGAAATCAGCTATTGAGTGAAGCTTTGGTTCAGTCTCGTAAACAGGCCGAGCTGTATGAGAGCAGTATTGATGAGATCACTAGAGAATCTAGGAAGAAGGTGTTCGAGGCAAATCAGGCCAAATTGGAAAGTGATCTGAAGCATCGAAACACTGAACATGATACCGTCAGAAGAATTGCATCATACAGGAACCAAGAGGCCGAAGCAATATCTCACCTGAGGCTTGAATCACAGGCTAGTGCAAACTCGATCGCAAGGGCAGAGCACTATGAGGAGCTCTATGCCAACGAGCAGAAGATGAACTGCGAATTGAAGGATGAGATCAAGTTGCAGAACACGAAGTTACGAAGATCGTTGACTCAGGGTTCTACGACCGACGGTCGTGGCCCCGAAGAGATGCTTGTTGAAGATCTACGTAATCAAGCTAAGATCGCTCAAATCAGGGTTCAGGATCTAGATCATGAAGTTCATGAATGTTTACAAGAGAACTTGTTGTTAAAAGAAAGGTTGACTGAAGTTGCGGATGTAGGGGCGTCGTCCCTCACCAATGCTGAGGTCCGAACTCTAAGATCTGAACTAGAGAGTGAGCGAAAATTGAAATTGGCGAGTGGTGTTCAACAATATGAGAGATCATGCATGTTCATGGGGGAAATCCAGGATAGGGATGAAAAGATTGGCATCAAGAATTCTGAGATTGTTGACATGAAACGTCACTTAGATGAACTGAGAAAAAGTCTCAAGGATTCTGAAACATCTATGGCTAGGATCAGTCCTGACACACTTCCCTATTCGGCAGGCATTCCCAACTCTGATCTCGCATCCAGACTGGTCATCGACAAACTGGAGAATGACGTGAGTGAGGCTAACTGTGAAAACGTTATTCTGAAATCTTGGGTCTCGCAGATCGACAAGGAGTTGACTTATGAGACAAATGTGGCTCATTCCTATCGTGGGCATGCTGTACCTCCTCAACAACAACAGCATTCTCAATCAAGCAAAAGAATCGCTGATCTGCTGAAAGAGGTTGACAACAAGATCGCTGGCGGAACTGAGAGGGACTATTACAAGCCACCGAGTGGATGGGGCGGTCCGCCTGACCCTGATGGACCTCCGGACCCTTTTGGGCCTAACGGTCCAGGACCACCTCCTGAACCTCCTGGTTTGCCTTCAGTTCGAGGATCACAACGCGATTCAGCAGATGATGTCTCCACAGCGGCTTACACTGCGGAAGAAGTACCGAGAATGTCAAGACGAGAGGCTGACAAAGTCTATGTTAGCCCATGGCCAAAGCAACAGAATCTTGGGGTTTGGCAATCAGATCTCATCAAGAGTGTTGTTCTTTCGGCAAATGACGGGGATAAAGCCGCATGGGAAGCATGGCTACAGCCGGCTATTCGACCAAATCCTGACATCGAGCTGTTGAATGACAGTGGGGGGCAACGGTATCAGTCCATCGACGCCAAGTTGTCAATTGCATTGTCAAACGTGATAGCCCAAGCCGGTGATGTTGCTCGTCATGTAGCGATCAAATTGAGATTGAGAACACAAAGTCATAGCCGAAGAGGAACCTATGTCATGGGACGGGAAATCTTGGCTATGATTCTGGAGCACTTCAGAACCCCAGGTCAACGAGAAACATCCTTCACCATGGAACACATCGTATCGATGAAGTATCTCGGTGACTCGAACCTAGAAGTGTTCTACGAGAAATGGATGGAGATGGTATCAAACATGATGCCGGATGACGTACCTCCTGATGATTGGCTTCGTGACGCTCTATACAAGAAGATTCGAAATTCGAGTCTTATGATGTTCGACATCAAGCAGTACGAGTCATGGATGGAAGGAGACCAAAGACGAAATTATCGCTACCTGTTGGATGTCATCGAAAGGCACATCTCCAGAATCAGAGAGGACAAGCATGTGGCAGCCAGAGAGAAGTATGCGAGAGACTTTGCAGGCGGCGGCAAACCTTCAGCTCCTGCTCCGAACCCAACTGCCGCTGCACCGGATGCAAATCCAAAAGCGAAGCCTAAAGCTACT